TTCAAAAGGTTAAGACTGAATAATGTCAGTGCCTTGAACATTGTATGAAAATGGTTTGTGTTATCATTGAAAAGTTTTATACTTTGAACTTAAAATGAAAAAAATGATTTGTACAAACAAATTTGGAACTAAATATTATAACATCTGAAATTTTGGCTGCATGCGGGGGCATCCGTGGCATGATGACACATTTCTAGTTTTGTTTTTCATCACAATTAAAGGGACATCACAGAGGTTTTTTGACATGACGGGACTGGAAATATTTTTTTAGATTATTACTCTATTTGATGTAGATCTATACTAATAACTTATGTGCAAAATTTCAGATCATTAGCTTGCTGCGTTTTTCCATAATAATTATTATACCCCCAAAAACGAAGTTTGGGAGGTTTATAGGAGTCACCCAGTGGTCGGTCGGTCGGTCCAGACGTCCGTTGCATTTTCCTTGTCCGGAGCATAACTGCAAGACTAATGGTTGGAATTCAATATAACTACATACAATGGTCAAGCACATTGAGAGGAAGTGCAGTGCACAAGAACCATAACTCTATCTTGACTAATTACAGAGTTATTGCCCTTTGTTACTTTTCCTTGTCCAGGGCATAACTTGAAAACTACTGGTTGGAATTAAAAACAACTTCATACAATTGTCAAACACAATAAGGGGAAGTACAGTGCACAAGAACCATAACTCTATCTAAAGTAATTACAGAGTTATTGCCCTTTGTTACTTTTTCATTGCTTTTTTTTGTCCGGAGCATAACTTGAAGACTAATTGTTTGAATTCAATATAACTACATACAATGGTCAAACACATTGAGAGGAAGTGCAGTGCACAAGAACCATAACTCTATCGTGACTAATTACAGAGATACTGCCCTTTGTTACTTTTCCTTGTCCGAGGCATTACTTGAAAATTACTGCTTGGAATTCAAAACAACTTCATACAATTGTCAAACACAATAAGGAGAAGTGCAGTGCACAAGAACCATAACTCTATCTAAAGTAATTACAGAGTTATTGCCCTTTGTTACTTTTCCATTGCTTTCTTTTGTCCGGTGTATAACTTGAAGACTAATTGTTGAAATTCATTATAACTTCATACAATGGTCAAGCACATTGAGAGGAAGTGCAGTGCACGAGAACCATAACTCCATCTTGACTAATTACAGAGTAACTGCCCTTTGTTACTCTTCCATTGCTTTTTTTTGTCCGGAGCATAACTTGAAGACTGATTGTTGGAATTCAATATTACTTCATACAATGGTCAAGCACATTGTGAGGAAGTGCAGTGCACAAGAACCATAATTCCATCTTGACAAATTACAGAGTTATTGCCCTTTGATACTTTTCCTTGTCCAGAGCATAACTTGAAAACTACTGTTTGGAATTCAATACAACTTCATACAGTTGTCAAGGACATTAAGAGGAAGTGCAGTGCATAAGAGCCATAACTCCATTTTGACAAAATACAGAGTTACTGCCCTTTGATACTTTTCCTTGTCTGGAGCATAACTTAAAATGTACTGGTTGAAATTCAAAACAAGTTCATACAATGGTCAAGCACAAAAAGAGGAAGTGCAGTGCACAAGAACTATAACTCCATCTTCAGTATTTATAGAGTTATTGCCCTTTGTTCCTTTTCTTTGTCTTTCTGGACTTATTACAGAGTAATTCAATAAAACTTCATCAATGGCCAACCACATTGAAAGGAAATGCAATATACAAGAACCACAACTATCTTTAATTCCCCACAACCATAACTCTATATTTCAATTATTTTACAAGATATTGTGTTACTAGTGACATCCTCATTTCCCAAGCAGTCTTGTGGGGGTATTAATCACATTTAGTGATAGTTCTAGTTATAATAGTGAAAAATGACCCAAAATTGAAAAGCACTCAAAGCGGACAGAGAATAGCACAAACATACGGGTTTAAATGTATTTTCTCTATATTTCTTAGTTACATTTTATCAATATTTCTGTTTCAAGTGCTCATGTTGATCTATGCGAACAATTTCATGTTTTAGGCTTATTAACCTCAGTGGAGTTCCTTTAATTTCTCATTTTTTATTATCACACTTTAATCAAGTGTTTGACAGCTTGACAAGTTGTGATTGTAATAGGTGTCAAAATAAATGGTTTGCTGCTAATTGGAAGATACTGACATTTTGAAGGTTTTTACAATCTCAATTGTAATATTCTATCACGGAAGACGGACAAAACCCCACCAGTTAAAACCCCACCACTCAAATTTTTTTAGAGTGGACAAAACCCCACCACTAAATTTTATAGAGTGGACAAAACCCCACCACTAAATTTTACAGAGTGGACGATTCGGTATCCGGACAATTCCCCTCCCGGACGATTCCCCTCCCAGTAAATTTGAATGTTTTTTCACAACCCGGACATTTCCCCTCCCTTTATTATTTTACGGCGGACAATTCCCCTCCCGTTAATTTTACAGGGCGGACAATTCCCCTCCCGTTGTTTTAGCAGAGCGGACAATTCCCCTCCTGCTGTTGTCAAAGCGGACAAGTTCCCTCCCGTGGCTGTTGGACATATATATGTTATATTGTTTATTTGAAAGGTATTTTTAATCGACTTTAAATACATTTTGCTTGTCTATATTGACATGAATATAAACAAAACAAAACGCATTTTTTTGTTAAAATAATCTTTATTTAGTCAATACATTTCTGCTGCGGTAATATAATTATAAATAATTGGTTTTGCAATCAAGGACACATTTAATTAAGGGCAGCATTGATTAAATATTTTTTATTGACAGTTTGTTTATCTTAAGCAGCGGCGGCAATGATTAAAGGCGGTATAATGTCACCTTTGTGAAATAATGATTCTTAAAGGTTCCGATCTTTAACAGTTTGTTGTTAAGAGTAAAAACTGTCATCTTTAATAAGAATGTTTATAGATTTTTTTATACGCAGTGGCGGCTATGATTAAGGGCCGTATAATGTCACGTTCCGCTCTGTGAAAAAAAACGGGAGGGGAATTGTCCGCTCTGCTAAAATAACGGGAGGGGAATTGTCCGTCCCATAAAATTAACGGGAGGGGAAAAGTCCACCCTATTAAAATAACGAGAGGGGAAATGTCCGGGTTGTGAAAATAATATGGAAGGGGAATCGTCCGGGAGGGGGATTGTCCGGGATTCGGACAAAACCCCACCACTTCACATCCAAATCACTAAAGAACAAAACATGATGATTATAGCATATAGCATTTATTTCAATAGCAATATAATACAATGAATGAGATTATACAAACAATTTACAAACTGTTAAATCAACATCAAAGAGTAGTCATTTATTTGAGACTGTGCCACATTTATGACCTTGAATTATTCATTATTATTAGTTTCCTCAAATTCATTACTTCAATTTATTTATATAGAAAATAAACTACTTACTATTAACCAAGAATATAGCACATTTTCATTAATTAATGATTAAAAATAGCGCATTTTGTAAAGCACATTTCTAGTTTATTCAGTTGAGTCTACTTTCCTTCATTGTACTTAGTTTAAGCGGATACAGTGGCCAATAAAATTTATAGTTGGGGTTTTGTCCACTCTATAAAATTTTGAGTGGTGGGGTTTTAACTGGTGGGGTTTTGTCCTAAATTCTTCTATCACACCTTTCTAAATATCCAGATTTTGGAAGTAAATTTGAATTGATATAACCCAAATTTTACCAGAAAATTGTTCTGAATTCAGAATTTAGAAGTTCCGGAATTCAGAGGTATCTTTTACATAGAAAACAGAAGGAGGAATTTCGTGACCCTGAAAAATGTTCAGACTTTAGAAGTTTCTGGATTTTAGAAGTTCCAGAATTCGGAAGTTACACTGAAAGAATTGTCTTTTAGAAAACCGCAAGAGCTAGAGCTTAAATATTTGGCATGAAACATCACCTAGTCAGTGTCTACCAAGTTTGTTCAAATAAATGCCCTGGGGTCAAAATTGGACCTGGCCCCAGGGTCATTGATTTTCCTGATTTGTATTTAGTAAAAGCTTGAAAAATCTTCTTTTAAAAACCCCAAATAGCTAGAGCTTAGGTATTAAGCATGAAACATCTACTAGTGGGTGTCTATGAAATTTGTTCAAATAAAAGCCCTGGGGTCAAAATTGGCCCGCCCAGGGGGTCATTGTTTTTCCCTATATGTATATAGTAAAAACTTAAAAATCTTCTTTTAAAAACCCCAAAGAGCTAGAGCTAAGATATTTAGCATGAAACATCTTCTATTGAGTTAGACATAAAGATTATTCAAATAAGGGCCCTTTGGTTAAAATTGGCCCCACCCAAGGAGTCATTGATTTTCCTTATATATGTAAAAAATCTCTTTATAAAAACACCCCAAAGAGCTAGAGTTTAGATACTAAGCATGAAATATCTTTTAGCGAGTTTCTACAAAATTCATTCAAATAAAAGCCCTGGGGTCAAAATTGGCCACTCCCGTGGGGTAGGGGGTCATTGTTTTTTCTTATATATACTTAAAAAATTTTGTATAAAAACCCCAAAGGGTTAGAGTTTAGATATTTATCATGAAACATCTTATGGCTGTCTACTAAGTTTGTTCAAATAAAAGTCCCTGGTTTAAAATTGGCATTGGCCCAGGGGCCTACTATACAGGTGAGCAATTTCAGGGCCATCATGGTCCTCTTGTTACACTTTGAATTTTACCCGAGACATAACTCTGAACTATAAGAGATATCATCACAAAACTTTGTAGATAGATAGATCTCATTGAATAGAAGTGCAGTGAAAAAAAAACATAACTCTGTCTTGCCTAATTTTTGACTTTTTGCCCTTTGTTCATTTTTCATACTTTCCTGTGTCCAAAACCTTATAGTTCCTGTAAGGGTGGTCATACCTTAAATATTAGTTAAGTATGCTGTCTATCAGCTCTTGCTTTAAGAATATTATTATTTCTTTATACTTAAATTTTTAAATAAATAATTTTACACCTTCTGTTTTTTTACAGGTTTATGAAAGCTCACCCAGAGATGGATTTCTCCAAATGCAAGTTCAATTAGAGAAAGTGTACAAGATTTATCACTGTGAACACTGGCTATTCAAACATAGCTGTTGGACCAAATATTTGTGTGATTTTATAGTGATTGTTCTGAAATCAATAAATGTACATTAATAACAAACACTTGACAGATTTTTTAGGTTTGAATGCATGATTTTAAAAGAAAAAAAAACTTGCAGAATAAATCTAGATTACACAGACTTTTGAGAAGTTTAAAACAACTAATGCTATACAAGAAAAAAATAATAAATGAGATTTAATAGATACACTTTAAAGCTTGTTAAGCTATAATAAAAATATAGAACTTGAATTTCAAAATGGTGTGAACATATCTAAAAAAAGGGCTCAAATAGCACATGCTCTGGAGTAAGTCATTTAAGAAGTTCACTGTCCTAGTCAGAGACATAGATAACAGAGAAAGGCAACATCCTAGCCAGTTAAAATATCATGTGTGCCTGCTAAACTTAAAACTTGTAGTAAGTAATACTTATAAACCAGATATCAAAATCATTAAAATAATGCATTTTCTGAAAGCTTATGCATTGGTCTATGGCTGCAGGTATTATTAATATTTTCAGTTCCCATTTAAATAAATGTCACTTCAATTTGTAAAGAGAACTACTTAATAATTTTTGTTACAAAATTATTCATATGACAACAAACTGGCTCAATGGGTATATTCTGCCATGTTTTTCTAAGTAAAAGGCATGGAAAGTTTTTTTAACGTTTAACATGCAGCAATAGATAAAAGATTTATGTTTCAAATGGTATATACATACAAATGTACATCCATTAAGTTTAATTTGCTACAAAATACCTAATTTGTCACTTTTTGATAGGCATGAGTGATATTTCAATTGTGTATATAGGAGCTGCTTATCTCTGTTATCTATGTCTCTGGTCCTAGTATATCAAACATTTTTCCTTCAAATATTAAAAGTTGCCCTTGATGCTGCTGCACAGTAATTGTGAAAATTGACAAAGATGTTTTCTCCCATTGAGGCTTTTAATTTTTGTATGTTATGTTATTTTATGCACACTTCTAATATAAATATTAAATGTATCAATTTCGGAAGTACAGTTTAATTGAATCATATTATTAGCTGGTCTGTTTTGTAGAAAAAGTCAAGCTTTTTTGATCTCTGTGACATTGTTGTTTTTGTCTTTGTGCAAAAACTTTCATGTTAGCCCAATTTTTATATGCCTGAAAGAATTTTTGGCATATTTTGTAATACCCCCTGGTGTCTATCTGTTCGTCAGTCCGTTAGCAATTTGGCCCACAGTATTCAAACTTCATAGGATGATTGTCCATATTGGGTAGAAAACCCCTATTGATTTTGGGGACACAAGGTCAAAGGTCACTATTACCTTAAAACTGAAAATGGTTTGCAGAGCATAACTTAAGTTCCATTTGGCCCACAGTATTCAAACTTCATAGGATGATTGTCCATATTGGGTGACCCCTATCGATTTTGGGATCACAAGGTCAAGGTCATTATTACCTTAAAACTGAAAATGGTTTCCTGAGCATGACTTAAGTTCCATTTGGCCCACAGTATTCAAACTTCATATATGATTGTCTGTTTGGGTAGAAGACCCCTATTGATTTTTGGGTCACAAGATCAAAGGTCAAGGTCACTATTACCTTAAAACTGAAAACAATTTCCACTCAATAACTAAAGTATTAATCAACCTTCAGATGTAAAATTTTATAGGATAAACAGCCATGTCTTATACATGACACCTATTGATTTTAAGGTAATATATATATATATATATGAAGGTTCTTCAGCTATAAAGGAGGATTGCTTTTTTGAAGGAGGTAATACTGTATTTAATTCCCTTGTCTTACAAATGTTTCATCCTTACTAACAAAAAAAGCACTTTCGGGCATATAATGCTCCGCCTAGTGCTCTTGTTAAACATTATAAAAGGTCTCAACATAAAACTTAGAATACTGAAAACATTTCATCTTATTAAAATTGCAATGTTCAAAATTGATTGAAATAATTAGAAAACCATTATTGATTTAAGATAAAGAAAAGAATTAACAGCTTCATTTGGTAATAATAAGTCTGTTCTGAAGAAATCCTGTAGTGCATGTAGCATAAACTTTTCATAAATAAAGGTGAACAATCTATATTATTAATAATTTATATTAACAGTCTATATAAGAAAAAGGTTAATATTCATTTTTAATCTTACAAAAACATATGAATAGCCTTGAAAATGATAAAATCACAGTTGTTGAACCTTTCTCTTTTTATTAAGAAATGAAAGATAAAATTTCATTCATCCTTGAGACTTTTGATTCTTGCTTTATCTTTTCTCTTCAAAAGAAATTGTTTGATTGTTAAGAGTTTGTGTAGCTGAAACACCTTTGTATAACTTTGAAATAAAACTATTTTATTGTGATATGAACTTTTGTATAATTTGTTTGATAATTGTGATTTGACAGTAGTTTTACTCCTTTTGTTTATTTCTTTGGTTGTCAAGAAGGAGACACATATTACTTCACATCCTTTGAAATGTAAGAAAAATGAAGATTAATTTTATCTTTAACACACACTTTCCAAAAGCCCTGTATTGCTTATTAGTCCCCTACCGGTTTAACCGGAGGGGACTTTAGGTTTACCCTCCATCCGTCTGTCCGTCTGTCTGTCCGTCTGTCTGTCAGTCCATCCGTCCACAAAACTGGATCCCGCGATAACGCAAAAAGTACTGAAAATATTTTTATGAAACTTGATATATGGATAGATGGCAGTATGGAGATTATGCACGTCTTCTTTTTTTCTTCCTATGTTGAAAATTCTGGTTGCTATGGCAACAAATAGTCTGAAAATATGGCAAATTTAACACATAAACTGGATCCAGTGATAACTCAAAAAGTACTGAAAATATTTTTATGAAACTTGAAATATGGGTAGATGGCAGTCTGGAGATTATGCACATCTTTTTCTTTTCTTCTTATGTTGAAAATTCTGGTTGCTATGGCAACAAATAGCCTGAATTTCAAGATTTCTGATTTAAATTTTTCAGCTTTTTCACTATATGTTCTTTATTTCTTAAGGTGTTTACTTCAAACTTTAAATATAAGTTTCTGGTCATCAACCACATCATATGTGACAAGGTTTATAACTCTAGCACAAAAAATATCAGTATTACCTCCCTTGAACTTAGATTTTTTAGGGGAAAAAATGTTGTCTTTTTTAAATAACTTCTTTATTTCCTAATGTATCTACTTCAAAACTTCATATATATGTTTCTTATTATCACTCGACATTTTTGAGAAGGTTAAATACTCTAGCAAGACTATTTCCAGAATTATGTCCCCTTGAACTTAGATTTTTTTCGAGAAACTGGTATTTTCACTCCAACTTCTTCATTCCTTATAGGATTTACTTTAAAATCCCACATCGTAATAATATGACAAGGTTGTATAAACATAATTTCCTTACTAAGCATGGAAACTTAACACATTACTGTGATATAGACAAACTTATTTTATTATGTTTTGTGGTCGATATTTTCAAATACAGACTTCATCCTCAAATTCATTATAAATGGCAATACACAGGAGTGTATGACAATTAAAGAACTTTTTGAGGGACAGGTAGGGGACTACTGTATTGCCTGCAATACTATCAAATGCTTGTTAGCAAAAGTCATGAAGGGTACAAAGTTGGAACTAATCAGTAAGCAGTGCCTTAGACATATTAAACAAATTATTTGGAAATTCAGTGGTCCATTTTGCTTGCTTTTATACAAGTAATTCATAAAATAAATGATAACCCTGGTTACTGTGTTTGAAAAATTATCTCTCTTGTGAGCTTGTAAGACATATTAGTTTTTTTATAAAGCAAAATTTTTATATGTCCCCTACTGGTTTAATTGGTGGGGACTTTAGGTTTACTCTCCATCCATCTTCCAGTCTGAAGAAACATTTGGACGATGTCCTCAAGGTGAGCTTTTGTGATGGCTCATTGTCCGTTGTCCATTGTCTGTCCGAACGAACATATGAGAGTAATGAGCTTCATTATGTTGTTAGATAAAGAACAAAAACTCATAAAATTCATATTGTGAGCTATTTGTTTTTATGAGCTTATGGACTTATATCCACTCCAGGTGTAGTTAATGAGCTTATTTGCCTCTTAAATATCAAATGTTGGTATGTCCGTCCATCCATGCGTCTGTGTGTGCTTAAACAATTTCTGAAAACAACTTCTCCTAAACCACATGGCTAAGTTTGTTGAAACTTTGCAGGGATGATTCTTGCGTAACTATCTACCAAAGTTGTTCAAAGAATTAATTTTCAAAAAGAGCTCTGGTTGCAACAAATCTTAAAAAAATCTTCTTGTAATAAAACAAAAGAGCTAGAGCTTAGGCATGAAATGTCTACCAAGTTTGTTCAAATAAAAGCCCTTAGGTCAAAATTGGCCTGCCCAGGCGTCATTGATTTACCTTATATGTATATAGTAAAAACTGAAAAAATCTTCTTGTAAAAATCTAAAAAAGGTAGAACTTGGATATTTGCATGAAACATCTTCTAATAGATGTCTAGTTTGTTCAAATAAAATCCCTGGGGTCCTGCCCAACTGGGTCAGTCTAGTTTGTTCAAATAAAATCCCTGGGGTCCTGCCCAAGGGGTCATTGATTTTCCTATATTATGTATATAGTAAAAACCTAAAAAATCTTCTTGTGACAATCCAAAAGCACTATAGATAAGATATTTAGCCTGACACATCTTAAAATTGGCCCCAACTTAGGGGTCATTGATATATGGGAAACAGACAAAAGCCCTCCCTTACAAAAGCCCTCCCGTCAAAAAATGACAAGGCGGACAAATTAGCCCTCCCGTGAAAATGACAGGGCGGACAAAAGCCCTCCCGTGAAAGTAACAGAGCGGACAAAAGCCCTCCCATGACTGGGCGGACAAAAGTCCTCCCGTGAAAATAACAAGGCGAACAAAAGCCCTCCCCTAACAATATAAATATGTATGTTGAATATCTGTGGTTTTTTTTCAAAACACTCAACATATTAATATTGTTACATATATTTCTTGTTGTTTTCAATTGGCCTAAGTAGGTGTATGAGCTAGAACCACCTTTTATCTTGAAATGTTTAACAAGGTACTTTTTTACACGAATGTCGTTAAAAACAAAGTCACTTTTAAAAGTAATTGACTCATTTCAAGGCACATTATAAATGTGTTTAACTTTTGAGTTAGATGATTTTAAATTTTTTTCATCATTTATTACTCTATTAATATTAACTTCAAATAGGAGAAATCCTTCATATCTATGTTAATAAATATGCACTTACAGATTTTTTAGCACTTATTATTCAGATGTCTCTCAGGAATGTGCCCAAGCCCATACCTTACAAACACGGTTATGCCAATGGAAAACAAATATATTCGTGATTACAATTTTAATATGTTGAGTGCATTGAAAAGAAAATATAAACTATTCAACGTACATATATGTATTTGCTGCGAGAGGGCTTTTGTCCGCCCGATTATTTTCACGGAAGGGCATTTGTCCGCCCTGTCATTTTCACGGGAGGGCTTTTGTCCGCCTTGTCCTTTTCACGGGAGGGCTTTTGTCCGCCTTGTCACTTTTTAACGGGAGGGCTTTTGTCCGGGAGGGCTTTTGTCCTACACTCTTGATATATATGTATATAGTAAAAACTTAACAAAATCTTCTTGTGACAATCCAAAAGAGCTAGAGCTTAGATATTTTGCATAAAAGATCGTTAAGTGGATGTCTACCAAGTTTGTTCTGATACTAAACCTTGGGGTCAAAATTGACCCCGCCCCAGGGTCATTGATTTTCCTAATAATGATATATACACTATAGTAAAAACTTAAAAATACTTCTTGTGAAAATCCAAAAAAGGTAGAGCTTGGATATTTGGCTAGTGGATGTCCACAGAGTTTGTTTAAATGAAAGCCCTAGGGTCAAAATTGACCCCTGCCCCAGGGTGTCATTGATTTTCCTTATATGCATATAGTAAAAACTTAAAAATCTTCTTGTGACAATCCAAAACCGCTATAGATAAGGTATTTGGCATGAAACATATTCTAATAGATGTCCACCAGGTTTGTTTAAATAAATGCCCTTGGATCAAAGTAGGCCTGGTGCCAGGGGTCATTGATTTTCTTTATAAATATATAGTAGAAACTTAAAAAAAAGTGACAGGGTGAGCTTTTGTGATTGCTTTTCGTCTGGCATCTGTGCGTCCAGCGTCCGTCAGTCCGGAAATTTTTGCTTCAAATGTCATCTCCTCATAAACCCCTAAGCCAATTTCATCCAAACTTCACAGCAATGTTCCTTTGGTGGTCACTTTTAAAAATTGTTCAAAGAATTTAATTCCATACAGAACTCTGGTTGCCAATGGCAGCCGAAAGAAAAAACCTTAAATATCTTCTTTTAAAGAGCCCAAAGCGCTAGAGCTTAGATATTTTGCATGAAACATCGTCTGGTGAGTGTCTACCAAGTTTGTTCAAATTAAAGCCCTGGGGTCAAAATTGGCCCCGTCCTGGGGGGTCATTGATTTCCTTATATGTGTATAGCAAACACTTAAAAAAATCTTCTTTGAAAAGACCCAAATAGCTAGAGTTAGATATTAAGCATGAAACATCTTCTAATAAGTGTCTACAAAGTTTGTTCAAATAAAAGCCCTTGGGTCAAAACTGGCCCTGCCCCAGGGGTGTCATTGTTTTTTACTATATGTGTATAGTAAAAACTTAAAAAAGTTTCTTTTAAAATACCCAATCTGCCAGGTGGGGGGGGGGGAAGGTCATTGTTTTTCCTTATATGTGCATAGCAAAAACTTAACATCATGAAACATCTTCTAATGGGTGTCTTATTTCCAAGTTTGTTCAAATAAAAGCCCTGGGATTTAAACTGGTCCCGCTTCGGGGGCCTAAATACAGATGAGCGACCTCAGGGCCATCATGGCCCTCTTGATTTTTTTTCTAACATCTTTTTATTAGCTCACCTTTCACTTAATGACAAGCTGAACTGTTTAATGAAATAGCTGCCAGAGTTAAAATTAGAAAACAACAACATCTAAGGAACATCTTAACCACTGGTTCAGTTTTGAAATAATTTTACACAAACATTTCTTTGGTGACAGTGTACACAATTTTTTCAGATTTAGCTGTCCCTTGTTTTCAAATTGTGCAAATTTGACCTTTTGACCTATTTCTCAGGTGACAATCCAGGTTCTCTTTATTATGCCCCTGGACATAATTATATTAATTGAACTGTCCTTTTGTCTGTCTGTTTGAGGTTAACGTGAAATAACATGTTAGACTTTTCTTAAGTTCGACCTGTACCAATGGCTTTATAATTCACACTCTTATCAATACAAAGTAAGTTACAAAAGTATGGCTTCCATTTTTACAAAGT